CCCTTTCCAGGTTTACGCCGCGGGGGGGTCCGATGACTACTCCTGGGGCACGGAGTTCACCAGACACTGGACTCACTACTCCCACACGCACTCCTGCACTCGCCAGGTCCATGAGGTGAGTCCGTTGGGGGGGGGGAGGACGTGGGGGTCAATCAGCTGATTCTTTCATTTATCAGGAAGCAAGAGTGAACAAAACACGCTATAAAAAAATAGATAATAATAGTAGATAGACGATAACAATAGATAATGGTAGATAAATAATAATAATAGATAATTATAGTAGATATATAATAATAGTAGATAGATAATGATAATAGATAATAATAGTAGATAGATGATAATAATAGATAATAATAGACAATAGACAAAATTAAAAAGCGCAGGTACAGAGGACGGGGTAAACAAAACAGGTGAATGAGAGAGAGCAGTGTTTCAGAAAAGAAAATCCAGGTTTCACAGTGTCACCATATGCAGGCCGGGGAACAAAACCCCGTCTTTAACAACTCTACAAGTCTATAAAAACCTCGGCGCTTGCCAAGAGAAGAAGCAGAAGAAGAAGAAGAAAAAAAAAGTCCATCAGATTTTCGAGGCAGCACGTGCCATCTCCCAGAGGATTCCAGCGGAGAGTGTTAACATTTTCCTCTCCTTTGTTATCTTTCTTCCTTTCTCACGCGCTCTGTCGGTTAGTAAAGAGAACCATTAAGACAAGCCACCTACTCATCAATGTTTTCTATAGTATTTACAAACCCACCCTCGCCCGGACAGCTTAAATCCGAAACATTAATATAGCTTAACTCTCTCTTTGTTGCAACTCCTCAAACTAGAGAAGTCCCCCTCCCTCCCCTCAAGCCGTTCCCCCCCTCCGCCTTTCCACAGAAAACGACGGAAGTGGCCCTCTTGGTGAGGCCAGAGTATCTTTAATTAGCACGCGACCTCTCAGCTCACTCGCATCCAAATGAACAGCACTTGGCTTCTTGTTCTTATATCATTTTATCTGGCATTTCGGTGTCTCCTGCGACTGTGGCACTAGGTGTTGGCGAGTGTATCAAGGCGCCTGCTTTGCGTACGTTTTCTCTCTCTCTCTCTCGGTTCAGGGTGAAAGGAATTTTTTTCTCGATGATTTGAGGTTTTCTGGAAGGGGTTTTATTCTTGTATGTTTCGTAATGAGTGTCTCTGTGTCGAAGAGAGTCTTACTTTTTTTATTTATATGGTATGTCTTTGTTTAAATGAAGAATAATAAGATTTGGAATATAAAAAAATAATGCAGAGATACTCGAAAACGAGATTTAAAAAAAAAAATTGAAGACCCACCCACAAAAAAATAGATTAAAAAAGAAAAAAGAAAGGAAGAAACAGAGAGTGGGTGAGTGAGTGGTCGAGAGTTAACGAAATGAGAGAGAGAGAGAAAGGAGGAGGAGGGGGGGGCATAGGAGGGAAGGAGTGAGATTTGGATCGAAAGAGAGGAGGAGGGAGAAAGGAGGGAATGTAAAGGGAGAAAGAGAGAGAAAGAGGGAATGAGGGTAAAAGAGAGTGAAAGAGGGAGGGATGGAGAGAGAGAGGGGGGGTGGGAAGAAGTAAAGAGAAAGCATTTAGGAGGAAGAGAAAAGGAAAGAAAGAAATCGAAAAAAAGGAAGGAGGTAGGTCAAGAGAGAAATAAAGTGAGGCAGGGGAAGGAAAAAACAGTAGAGAAAAATAGGAGAGAGGGTCTAAGGGACGGAGAGAGAGAGAGAGAGAGAGAGAGAGAAAGAGAAACAGACAGAGATGCAGAGACAGAGACAGGCGCAGAAACAGAGACAGGCGCAGAAACAGACAGACAGGCAGACTGAAACAAATAAACAGACAGACAGAGACAGACGCAGACAGACACAGGGGCAGACACAGACAAACAGGCAGACTAAGACAAATAAACAGACAGACAGATACAGAGACAGACGCAGACAGACAGAGAGGCAGACACAGACAGACAGGCAGACTAAGACAAATAAACAGACAGACAGATACAGAGACAGACGCAGACAGACAGAGAGGCAGACACAGACAGACAGGCAGACTAAGACAAATAAACAGACAGACAGATACAGAGACAGACGCAGACAGACAGAGAGGCAGACACAGACAGACAGGCAGACTAAGACAAATAAACAGACAGACTGAGACAGAGACCAAGAAGAAAGAGCTTCACGAACCTCACAACTTCTTGTATCCTTTCCCCTCCCCCCCCACAGACATCCCTGAGCGCCGTCCACCTCTCCACGCCCGCCTCCTTCGACGGCTCCAGCGGCGAGCTCCGGAAAACCATCTTCGGGGCGCCGTGTGACGTCTCGCCGCCCTTCTCCTGGCGGGAACTCCACCACAGTTACTTCGGCTGCCAGAACACGCCCACTGCGATCTGGCTTCGTGCTGGGGCTTCGAACTACTCGCCGCCGGATCTTCGGGATATCATCGACGAGTTCTTCCCGCCTCAGATGGGGGAGACGTCGGCCAGCGAGCAGTGAGGGAGGGGGAGGGAAGGGGAGGGAAGGAAGGAGAGGGAAGAAGGGAAGGGGTGAGGGAGGGAGAGGGAAGGGGTGAGGGAGGGAGGGAGAGGGAAGAAGGAAAAGGAGTGAGGGAGGTAGTGGGAAGGGATGAGGGAAGAAGGGATTGGGAAGGGGTGAGGGAAGAAGGGAAGGGGTGAGGGAGGGAGAGGGAAGGGGTGAGGGAAGGAAGGAGAGGGAAGGAAGGAAGGAAGGAAGGAGAGGGAAGGAGAGGGAAGAAGAGAAGGAGTGAGGGAAGGAGAAAGGAGGGAGAGGGTGAGGGAAGGAGAGGGAAAGAGGGAGGGAGGGAAGGGGAGGGAATGAGTGAGAGGGAAGAAGGGAAGGAGTGAGGGAAGGAGAGGGAGAGAGACTTCTCTTGCTGAAGGAAAAAAATAATTCGATTAGGGAAGAGGGGGGGGGAGGAGAGAAGAAGAGGGAGAGAGGGAAGAAAGGAGGGAGAGAGGGAGAGGGAGAACGACTTCTCATTCTGGAGAAGAGAAATTCGATTAGGGAAGAGGGAGGGAGGGAGGGAAGAAACTTGATTATGAAAGAAAGAAAAGGAGGGAGGGGGGAGGGAGGGAGGAAGGAAACTCAGTTAGGGAAGAGGGAGAGGGAAGAAGAGAGGGAGGGAGGGAGGGAAGAAGAGAGGGAGGGAGGGAGGGAAGAAGAGAGGGAGGGAGGGAGGGAGGGAGAGCTGAGGAAATGTGGGGATAGGTGTAAAAAAAAAAAAATATTTGGCAATCCCTATCGAGGATTATGGCGATGATAAAGCACTCAGAAAACGATTATAAATAGAAAGAGTATTGTAAATGAAAATAAAAATAGGTGGAAATTCATGTAAAATGAAGTTTCGATTAAAGGGTACATATACTGCTCAAAAAAAAGTAACAACAAACTAGTAACAAGAATTTTTGAAACTAAATACAAGGATGTTTAAAAATGGGAATAATTCAAGACAATGTTTTGTTGATAAAGTATTAGATTCTGAGATTCTGGGTACAACTTTATAAGAAAAAATAAAATGGAGGGTCGCGATGCACTTTTTTTTTTTTTTTTTTTTAACAAGAGGGATAAACATAAAAAAAAATCCAAAGTCTTGTTGAGCAATCTCCTTGTCTAGATTTAAGAAAAAAGAAAAAAAAGGAAGAAAAAAAAATATGATCTTTTTGAAAAAATATCACTCATTATTATGAGGACGTTTCCTCTCCTACACACGTATCTTCATTCTCTCAAATATACCTCCTCTAATTCAGAGATACATTCATGTGTCCTTTTCACAGAGAGACACATGGAGGCTAGACAATTTATGCGCAGACACACATGAGGAAAAGAGATCGCACACACTCACGCACATGTGGAAAAAAAATTCAACTTGACTTTTTATGCATGCTGATGAGGTCCTGACACATGTACACGCACACACGGATGCATTCACGTACACGCAAACAGATATAGGAACACGTACACAAAGACAAATATATCAACACGTACACACAAACAGATATGAACACGTACACAAAGACAAGCATATTAACACGTACACACAAACAGATATGACCACGTACACAAAGACAAACATATTAACACGTACACACAAACAGACATGACCACGTACACAAAGACAAACATACTAACACATACACACAAACAGTTACATAAACGTCTAGACACGAACAGACATCAACACATACCCACATACATTTTCAAAAGTATACACACACACACACACACACACATTCGTTCATAAAGACAGCTCTTTTTTTCTTTTCTTTACACACGATAACGAATTCCCTCTGTCAGAAACGCGCACAAACACAAACAAAAACAAACAAGCGACAATTGCACACGTCTCCTTCCTCGTGCAAGTCTGCTTAAGGCTCCTGCAATCTCACTGTCATTTTAGAATCTTTACTGTCGTTGACAAGTTATCTTATTTATAGAATGCTTTTGCGTGCATACGTGTTGTATGCATGTATAAGACTTAATATTAACCGTATAAAGGAATAATCAAATTAAATGATAAATAAATTTATTATAATTATACAGTAATATATATATATATATATATATATATATATATATATATATATATATATATATATATATATATATATATATATATATATGTATATGTATGTATATTATACTGTATATGCATGTATGTATGTATATGTAGCTTGTATGTAAGTGTGAACGGGTCTGCATGTGCACAAGCCACTTTATGAAGCGTGCGAGAGTGTTTGCAAATGATGTATGTATTGTTAACCGTTTATTAAGCAAGATTTATACCCTTCCTCCTTGTTCAATAAGGTCTGAATAATTTTTGCCTGTGTGTATATATCCGTATGTACATTTTCCTACGCATACGTCATGACTGTGTGTATATTCCGAATATAGCGTTTAACTATTCTTAACGTTTTATTTTAACGAGCGTTTTAACGTTGTAGTCGACTGTCCGATGAACACGATTTTGATCTCACGTTTATC